TTCTTGATATCCCCTCTAAGAATGCAATTCGGGCACGATTTAAAACAAATCGTTGTGCAAAGCTCGTTTCTCCCGTTTCGCAGCACGCCATGCACCCAGCGAGCTTCGATGCAGGCCGTTTACCGTGGACGTTTTTTTTTAAAGAACTTCATTAAGAGCGCCGAAGATGTTACCTAGCTGGGTAATGAAACACTGGCAAGAAAACAGCCAAGTTCAGAGAACCCCGAGGACTCCACGGAACTTGATTAAGTTTCAACCAAGAATAAAACATAAGGAAACAGGGGGGAAAAACCCAAAAAAGATTGAAAAAAGGAAAAGATCAGGAAAGGGACGGAATTTAAAGTGCAGGAAAGAAAAAGGAAAAAAGAAAAGGAAAACTTCCGACTTTCTTTGGTGCAGGTAGAAATATATAATACATTCACCTCTTACGCTAACGTTTAAATGAATACAAGCGTTTACCGTGTACGTATTGGGTTCTTCGGATACTTGAGAAATTGCAGCTTTCAGTAATGTGGCCAGGAAGACGCAGGAAACTGCTCTCATCTTTACAGCTGGAGGTTAAGAGCGTGCAGGTTAAAAGCGAAAGGTACGTAGAGCTTGCATTCTTTAAGACAGGTAGTCCTCGCTTAACAACCACAACAGGGACCGGAAAATTCGTTGTTAAGCAGGGCAGTGGTTAAGCAAGTTGCGCCTGATTCTACAACCTTTTTTGCAGCGGTCGTCAAGCAAATCACTGCGGCCGTTAAGTGAATCGTGCGGTTCCTCATTGATTTTGCTTGCCGGAAGCCAGCTGGGAAGGTCGCAAATGGCGGCCACGTGACCCTGGGATGCTGCAACTGTCGTAAGTGTGAGCTGATTGCCAAGCACCCGGATCGCAATCACATGACTGCAGGGGTGCTGCGATGGTTGTAAGTGCAAGGATTGGTTGTAAGTCCCTTTGTTCAGCACCGTTGTAACTTTGAACGGTCACTAAATGAATGGTTGCTAAGTGAGGACTACCTGTACAGTGTTTCTCAACCTCAGCAACTTTCAGTTGGGTGGACTTCGATTCCCAGAATTCCCCAGCCAGCATGCTGGCTGGGGAATTCTGGGAGTCGAAGTCCACCCAGCTGAAAGTTGCTGAGGTTGAGAAACACTGCTTTAGTAGCTCTGCTGTTCGAGCGACACACCAGTTGGATCTGGTGGTAGCTACTTTGGGCACAAAAAGAATAGGATTGGCGCCTTTTTGGTTTTCCTAGAATCTCGACAGCCAGTCCTCTGAGCATGTGCAGAGTGCAAATCCCCCCCACCTCCAAGAACTCTTCTCGCTGCAGATCCAGAGAGTTCAGAGACCAAAATTGCAGCCAGCCAACGATCTCCTTCAGCACAGCTCTTCCGAGGGGTCCCTTCCAATGTGGGAAGTCGTTTTCCAAAAGTGTCTACCCCCCCCCCCCCC